ATAGCAGTGAGTTTCTATAAAAACATTTTTATAGAGTTAATTCTGCCAAACCACGATAAGGAGTATTCCGCCCAGTGTTGAAGATCTCCATGAAGTCATTTGAAGAGTGGGGGGTAATTGGATTTATTAAGATCTGCGACCGAAGCCGTTAAGCAAATCCCTAAATAAGAAAGAGAGCTCTGTTCACATTGGAATGTATAATTTTCTTGTACATCTTTCAGAATCAAAGTGGGCAAGGAAATGTTAAGGGCCATTTGTTTTTTTTGGGAGGTCAGGGATAGCCCCGAAAATTGAGCAAAATGGCAAAGTAATGAAATTAAATTTGAAGGGTTAGAATTGTACATAAGCACATCATCGGCAAAGAAAGCACATTTGTGTTCTTGGTGGCCACTTTTAAATCTGTGTATACAAAAATGGGAGCAAATTGCTATCGACAAAGGCTCGATTGCCAATGCAAGTAGCAAAGGGGAGAGTGGACAGCCCTGACTTGTGCCTCGACAAATAGGTAATCCTGACGACTTATAGCCCGGATAGAAACCTGAGCAGAAGGGGCACTGTATAGGGTTTTCAATAAAGGGATGAACTAGGGACCAAATCCAAAGGCCTCCAATGTGGAGAATAGGTAATCCCAGCTAAGGTTATCAAAAGCCTTGTGGAGATCTAATGAGAGCAACAGCTGCTGAGACTGTCAATGGAGCGCCGTATCTGGTCCAACGTCTGCCGTCCCTGTATGAATGAATGGTCTATTTTTAAAAAAATATTTTTGACTACCATTCTGCTCTCTTACTCTTATCAGAATGAATGTCTGTTACTTTTGGATCTAGGCTGAATCAACTGTCCACTAGGGATGCGCTGAAATTTCGGCGGCTGAAACATATAAGGCGAAAATAGCCCTGTTGGCATTTTGCTGATAGGAAAAAGTGAGCTGATACAGGTGGTGATAATTGTGGCCTGCAGGGCAGACTGACTGTTTGGCAGCTAAAGTAAACAAATGGTCATCTAGTGACATTATCCAGTAACCCCGCCCTTTGTTTACTTTAGCAGTGGGGTGAATGACCGCTCCTTTTCAGAGCTATAAAGTGGAGAAAATAAAAAAGCTGGCAAGTGCATTTAAAAATCGGCAATGACATTTAGTGGCGGCAAGTGAGGGAGCCTGTCTGTATACACTGCTCCCTCACTATATACACTGCTCCTTTCCTGCCCTCTCACTGCACACACTGCCACCCCCACTCTCTCCTCCCTACAAAGAGGACCTGTCACTTACATGCTATTACAAAGGGAACTATTGGTATGTGATTGCAATAAAATCATAAATTTACAAAAAATAAACACATTAGACCACAGTATAAAAAAAAAAAAAAATGCACAAAAAAAATGAGCCTTCCCACTCCCCCACGCAGGCATTTTGGTTTCGGTTTTCTGCCAAGTGCATCCTGAATTTTTCGGTTCTGGCACCAGAATTTTAATTTTGGTGAACCACTATTGTCCACTAAATAAATTACATGTACTTGTAATAACTAAAGTGATTGTAAACCCTCAAATGTTTTTCTCTTAAATTATATAACATGTTCTACTTGCAATCTCTGTGTAATGTGACACCCGACATTTGGAGCGCACGCCAGCTCCAGGGCTTAGTGGAGCGCGGGCTCTTAGGAATATACATAGGCGGGTTGTTTTACGCTAAATATTGGCACTAAATAATGTGAGCATTGATTTTACTTGGTTTTAGCTACTTATATGACATACAATACTACACTACAGTATATTATCACTTTTTCTCTTTGGATCTTCTGTGGTGTGAAGGAGTCGAGTGAGTAATAGAAGGAAGACATCTCATCCTTCTGGACCACAGCAGAATAAAGAACAGAAACCAAGCACTATCAACCTTCTTTTTAATTAAAGGGGTCGTGGTAGTCCGGTGAATGAGTTACTTTAAAAGGTCTCACTGGTTGCATTTGCATCTATTTGGTGGAGTAAAACTATTGAAGAAGTTGAAGAATTGCGAGTCCATGTTGGAGGACTGTCACATAGAGCACATGGATTGTTTTATATGCAAGCACATGTTTTATTTGTACATACTGTATTTAGTATACCTTGAGGAATTGTTATTTATGCATTGACTGGTTTGCATATTTATGTAAGAAATATTTGTACAAAATATATTTAACAATTGATGAAGTTCATTTAAGCACAGGTACTTTCATATCTTTTTGTTATATATCCCCCCTAATTTTTCCTTTTCTCACCACAGCAAGCCACTTACTATATGGGGCATTCATGCAGACTTGCTGCTGAGTCGGCTCTGTGTGTCCATAGGCATACAAACCCTGGCTTGGTTCCACCCCTGCCCCTCCTCACTGGATGTGATTGACAGTAGGCGCCAATAGCTCTGCTGCTCTCATGCACAGCTCTGAAACACGTCCGGTGGTTGCGAACAGTGTGAAGCTTGATTCATCGGACCATATTAAAGTCTTCCATTGATCAATAGTCCATGATTTATGGGTGTTGCACCACTCACTCTTTTGAGCATTGATATCGGTCACTAGTGGTTTTGGCAACTGCAGCTCACCTGTGAATGTTTTGCTTATGAAATTCCCGTCGCACAGTTTTTGTGGAGACGGGCTTTGGAAGACAGATTGAGCTCTGCAGTCACTTTTGCACTTATGCTTATCAGATGACATTTTGTCAGAAACCATATATGCCGTTATAACCTTTAATACTGTGCCTCACAACACTGCAAAAAAGTTGGCAACTTCCGTCACAGACTCACCAGCTAAGCGGACACCAACAATTTTCCCTCTTTGAAACTCAGTAAGCTCTGACATGACTCTGTACTACTAGCAGCGCATGCAGTGAATGACCACCTGTTAGCTAGGTGTCTCATCACACAGTGGAAGCAAAGGAATGTTACATCCCTTCCACTTTCAACGCAAAACATGTCATCATTTTCACTCCTGCAAATCATGTAGTGTTTTCCATATTTTTGTCCAACCCCTGTATTAGGATAGGCAAGTCCAATGCACTTGCTGAAGTCTTGCTAGAGTGATACACAGGAGAGTCCTCTAATAAAGTCACCTTATCACTTCCAGTGTTTAAACCTGCAGTCTTTCACTATGGATTAAGCTCAGGCTGTAGAAAACATAAGAACATTGTTACAAGGAGGATCTAAAGGGAATGTAATTTTCCCTTTTTTAAAAAATTTGTTGCTGGCTGCAGGCTGTAATGGAAAGGTAATGTTTCATAACATTACATTACAAAATAGCTTATGTGGCTATTTCATATGCTAAATTCATTTTTTAAAATAAAACAGGAATTTTCCCTTAAGTGCAGATGGTACGATGACAGCATTTCCATTTTTAACTAGAATTTTAAATAACTGCTTTGAGGGATATAAAGCTTTTGACAGGTGTTTAATACTGAAAGGAATGCAAATGTATTCATTGCTTTTCCTCTTGTTTTTGGCTTTTCTAGACGGAACCTCTACAGGGCATTTTCCAGCTGTCTGATTTGTATTTTTCTAGTAAAAAAAAAAAGCAAAACAAAAAAGCAATGCAGACACGTTGAATATACAGTAAAAAGCTATTTGGAAAACGTCTTAATAGTTTATTTGTTTTTAATTGATTACCATCTGCAGTAAAAATGTGTGTCTGGCATACACTGCAGAAAAGTGCCCTTGCTCTTTCTGTGGAAGATGCGGTCTCTCTGCATCAGTTAGACACTCCCACTTGAGTGACAGCTAGTGTTCTGCAGTCAGTAAGGAGGGTCAATTTTGCTAGTAAAAAGAGAAATGTGGGATTTCAAAAATACAAACATACATACCTATATGGCTGCAGTATTGGAGCAATGCTCTCGCTGTTTCCTGCTGGCTGTAGGACTGAGAACTCAGCGATCACGACTTCTGATTGCTCAGTTTTCAATATGCACTGAAAATGAACAGTAACTCTCAGTCACTGCTCTCTGCTGTGCCCCTCTAGTCCTCACTGGAGTACCGGGCTGTGGAGGAGCAGATGTGGCTGGCCTAGGCATTCAGCGGCACACTGATTTTAGCACAGTTTCAGCATTCACTGAATTAGTGGCTAGTAAAAGTTCTATTTGTTGCCTGGAATTGTTCCTTCAAGCACAGTTCTACTTTTATTCTTTTTCTAATCACTCAGGAATTGTTAAAATAAAAATTGCAGCTCTGGCTGTAATACTTACCTCATCTTTGGTACTGTCCTCTGCAGACACAGCCTTTCTGCAATTCAGTACCTGCCCTCTTCCAGGTTGATTAATGCATCAATGCAAGTGCCCTGCTCTTACGGACAAACGATACAGAGAATGACGCCAGTATAATGTTAGCATTGCTTACTGCATCACTGAGGACTGCCCAGCGCCACAGAAGAGAATGAACCCTCATGTACTTATCATAATAACTTCTGAAGTCTTTAAGTATATAAAATGTGGGGCGTTACTTGCAGCTTATCTTATCGTCATGATCATTTTAGTAAACTCTAGATCAGGGGTCCTCAAACTACGGCCCGCCAAGGACATTTATCCTCCCCACCGTCAGGGGCGTATTTGTCGCGAGGAAGGGACACTAAGTACAGGGGCGGGCAGGGGGCTGCTGTATCTTACCTGGCTCCGTGTCCCAGTCCCACGACGATCCAGTCCAGGAAGCACTGCTCCTTCATTCACTCCAGCCACTCCCTCACTCGATGTTCACGCTGCCCGCTTGCTCCGCCTCCTCATCAGTGATTGGGCGCCAGAACTGTAGCTCAGGAAAGGCACACACGGCGGCCAATCACCTGCGAGGAGGCGGAGCCGAGCAGCCCCATGAACATCGAGTGAGGGAGAGGCCGGAGTGAAGAAGGACAGCTGACAGCTAAGTGTGCCGTGCAGATGGTGCTGCTGCAACCAGGTATGCTGGCTGCAGCAGCACCATGCTGGAACGGGTCAGCAAGTTAAGTGTCATTGGTGTCAGTGGGAGGAATAGTGCCCCATCATTGGTGTCACTGATACTAATGATGGGGCATTATTCCTCCCACTGACACCAATGATGGGGCACTATTCCTCCCCCCACTGACACCAACGATGGGGCACTATTCCTCCCCGCACTGACACCAACGATGGGGCACTATTCCTCCCCGCACTGACACCAACGATGGGGCACTATTCCTCCCCCCCACTAACACCAACGATGGGGCACTATTCCTCCCCCCCACTAACACCAACGATGGGGCACTATTCCTCCCCCCCACTAACACCAACGATGGGGCACTATTCCTCCCCCCCACTAACACCAACGATGGGGCACTATTCCTCCCCCCCATTATTCCTCCCCCCCACTAACACCAACGATGGGGCACTATTCCTCCCCCCCACTAACACCAACGATGGAGCACTATTCCACCCCCCAATGACACCAATGTTGGGACACTATCTCCCCCCCCCCACTGACACCAATGACGGGGCACTATTCCCCCCCACTGACACTAATGACTTACTATTTCTCCCACTGACACCAAAGATGGGGCACTATTCTTCCTACTGACACCAATGATGGGACACTATTCCACCCACTGACACCCAATGTTGGGACACTATTCCTCCCACTGACACCAATGTTGGGACACTATCCCCTTCCCCCACTGACACCAATGACGGGGCACTATTCCCCCCCACACTGACACCAACGATGGGGCACTATTCCTCCCCCCATTGACACCAACAATGGGGCACTTTTCCTCCCCCCACTGACACTAATGATGGGGCACTATTCCTCCCCCTACTGACACTAATGATGGGGCACTATTCCTCCCACTGACACCAATGATGGGGCACGATTCTTCCCACTGACACCAATGATGGGGCACTATTCCTCCCACTGACACCAATGATGGAGCACGTTTCTTCCCACTGACACCAATGATGGGGCGCGTTTCTTCCCACTGACACTAATGATGGGGCACGATTCTTCTCACTGACACCAATGATGGGACACGATTCTTCCCACTGACACCAATAATGGGGCACTATTCCTCACACTGACACCAATGATGGGGCACTATTTTGCTCCATAAGACACACTTGGGGGGGAAATGTCTGTGTGTCTTATGGAGCGGCTGGCCAAGTAATCCCTCTGCCGTTGTATGTCCGCAGTCTCTGGTCATCTCCTGTACTGTGTCCGCATTTGTTCATAGTTTTTTTTTCTTTTTAAACTATAGTCCGGACCTCCAACGGTCTGAGGGACAGTGAACTGGCCCCCCTGTTTAAAACGTTTGAGGACCCCTGCTCTAGATGATGTTTTAGTTTTTGGAACAAACTTGGCCCTTCATAATGCACAATGGTCCTGATTGGACTGATTCATCAATGTACACCTTTCCCAGCGCCCCCCCCCCCCCATCTAGTATTACTATCAGATAATTGCTTGCCTCCTCCTGTACTGTCACCACATGCCAGTGCTACACTCTTTCTCCTCTTTTTCTGCACCATCTTTTTCAAAAGAAAGCATCCTCAGTGGGGGGGGCTTCTTCTTCCTTGTGTGCTTGCCCACTGATGATGTGTCACTCGATCTGGTGTATACCTTGTTCAAGATCTGCGGTGGCTTGTTGATGTTCAGTAACAAGTCACCCCTGATCTGTTATGTTACATGTGCCAGATCTCAAACTGGAGAACTGGTGCATCTAAGTTTACCAAAAATTATCTGAGTGTACTGAACAAATGATTTTTATTACATGTATGGATAGGCTGCAGGCAATGTGTGTTTTTTTGTGTTTGGGAGGTAAAGGTCTGCTAATCCAGTGAGGACAAGAATGTATCGCCTGAGTAAAATCCACTCAAGTGATCTTACAAAGATAGATTTTAATAGCCGGACATAGATGGATCAAAATTCGATCCTTATATGGGAAGGCTGCTTGTTCAGAATTCAATCTCTTGATAAACTTCTATATGACCAGCTTGTCTGGGGGGGTTCTTCAGCCCTGCTACCACTGAGGAGGTCACTAAGGTCTTCACTGAAGCCTGCCTCACCACTTGCCCTCCGGACCCTATCCCCTCACCACTCCTCCAGTCACCCCCCTCCTCCTCCATCATTCGCTCCCTCACCCACATCTTCAATCTCTCCCTCTCTACTGGCGCATTCCCCTCCCCCCAAAGCATGCACACATCACCCCCATACTCAAGTCTACAATCGCCTAAGCGCCCACCTCACTGACAACAACCTCCTTGATCCACTACAGTCTGGCTTCCTTCCCCTACACTCCACCGAAACCGCCCTACTTAAAATCATTAACGACCTGCTAACCGCCAAAGCTAATGGCCACCACTCTGTCCTCCTACTCCTCGACCTCTCCGCGGCCTTCGACACAGTCGACCACCCCCTCCTCCTTACTAAACTACACTCCCTTGGCATCAGGGACTCTGCTCTCTCCTGGTTCTCCTCTTACCTATCCCAACGCTCCTTCAGCGTTCCCTATAACGCTGCCACCTCCCCCCTCTCTCCCCCTCTCTGTTGGAGTCCCCCAAGGCTCTGTCCTCGGACCTCTTCTCTTCTCCATCTACACCTCCTCCCTTGGCAAACTGATACACTCCCACGGCTTCAACTATCACCTCTATGCCGATGACACACAAATTTACCTCTCCACCCCTCACCCCCTCACTGTCCGCCCGCATTGCCACCTCCTAAACGACATATCAGACTGGATGTCGCTCTATTTCCTCAAGTTAAACCTTTCCAAAACCAAGCTCCTAGTTTACCCCCCAGCCCGCGCCCCCCCCCCCCCATCCTCTCCATCACGACCAGCAACGCCACCATCAATCCCACCCCACACGCCAAAATCCTGGGTGTCACCCTGGACTCAAACCTTTCCTTCCAACCTCATGTCCAATCACTATCAAATTCATGCAGGCTCCACCTCCGCAACATCTCCAAGATACGTATGTTCCCACCCCAGACACCACTAAACAACTCGTACACTCCCTTATTATCTCACGCCTGGACTACTGCAACTCCCTTCTCACTGGCTTACCCAAACACATGCTTTCCCCGCTCCAGACTATCCTGAGCTCAGCGGCTAGACTCATCCACCTCACCAACCGCTCCACTTCTGCCACCCCCCTCTACCAATCCCTTCACTGGCTCCCGATTGCCCAACGCATCAAATTCAAATTACTAACTCTGACATACAAAGCCATTCATAATGCTGCCCTAAATTACCTCACTGACCTGATACCCAAATACCACCCTACCCGTGCCCTTCGCTCCTCACAAGACCTCCTACTCTCTAGCTCCTTGGTCTCCTCCTCCCACGCCCGACTGCAGGACTTCTCCAGGAATTCCCCCATCCTCTGGAACTCCCTACCCAAATCCATCAGACTGTCACCTACCCTCCTCACCTTTAGGCGCACCCTGAAAACCCATCTCTTCTGGGAAGCCTACCCCACCCTCACCTAACAGCCGTTCTCCTCCACTCCTCCTACCACTCCATCCCCCACAGCCACTTCCTCCTGTACCTCTACACCCTCCCTCCTAGATTGTAAGCTAGAAAGAGCAGGGCCCTCGAACCCCTCGTGTATTGTATTGTTACTGTATTGTCTCATGTACTGTCCCCCCACTCTAATGTACAGTGCTGAGCAAACCCTCTGGCGCTATATAAACACTGTATAATAATAATGATTCTCCCCTTACATAAGCTAAGCGCTGTACATAAATGTAATTTGTGTCCTTTTTTCCCACAAATGGAGCTTTCTTTTGGTGGTATTTGATCACCTCTGTGTTTATTTTTTGCACTATAAACAAAAAAAGACTAACAATTTTGAAAAAAAAACCCAATATTTTTTACTTTTGCTGTAAAACATATCCAGTAAAAAAAAAAAAAAAAAAAAAAAAATTTCTTCTTAACCATTAGCCGCCCGGCCAATGGCCGTTTGGCGGCTTCAGATGTGCCTCTTCATTCCGGGTGCACGCCATTTGGCGTGCTCCCGCACATGCGCCGTTTGCGGTAATGCAGAGCGGCGCAGCAGCGGGATCTGTCACGGGCCGTGCACCTCAGACACGGCCGATGACAGATCCGAGTACCGGCTCCCGTTGCTGGTACCATGTGACCTGCTGTGACCAATCACAGCAGGTCACATGACAGTTGTATACAATGGATGGCTTCATTCATGATGCCATCCATTGTATACTAGTGCCTAGCTGTGAATGGTCACAGCTAATCACATGCACATGTCATGTGATTAGCTGTGACCAAATCACAGCTAAGCACAAAAAAAAAAAAAAAAAAAAAAAGAAAAGCTGAATGAATCGATTTCATTCAGGATGCTTGCTTATAGCAAAGTAATTCTTTGCTATAAGCAAATTGTGTAAAAAAAAATACTGATCACTTCCCCAAAGTAGTACAGTGTTACTATGGTAACATTGTACTACTTTGGTCATAGTAAAATATGAAAAAAAAATCTTAAAAAAAAATAAAAAAATGTAATAAAAAATTAAATATAATAAAAAAAAAAAAATATATATATTTTTTTTTTCATACTGTCACCAGTCAGTGTCCCTGTTAACCGCCATGCCGGTTATATGATGACGCTGTACTGCACTGGTGACAGTATGTAAAAAAAAAATAGTGAAAATATTTTTTTTAATTTTTTAATTTTCCGAAAAATTATGACATAAAAATACAACTTCAAAAAACTCGCCATGCCTCTTATGAAGTACGTCGGACTGTCTACTCTGCAAAAAGGGGTCATTTGTGGGATATCTGTACTGTTCTGACATTCTTGGACCTCAAGAAATTAGATTGGCTGTCAGTACTTCAGGATTGATCAATATTCAGATCTATACCATAGTTTGTGAACTCTATAACTTTCCTACAAACTAAAAAATACATCCTAATTTGGGTTATTTTCACCAAGGACATGTAGCAAAATACATCTCGGCCTAAATTTATGAAGAACAATTATTTATTTGTAAACTTTTATAACAGAAACAAAGAAAAATGTGGGTTTTTTTCAAAATTTTTGGTCTTTTTTTTTTGTTAATTTAGCAAAAAATAAAAACCCCAGCGTGATTAAATACCACCAAAAGAAAGCTCTAGTTGTGTGAAGAAAATGATCAAATTTTAGTTTGGGTACAGTGTTGTATGACCGCGCAATTGTCATTCAAAGTGTGAGAGCGCTGAAACCTGAAAAATGGCCTGGGCAGGAAGGTGTAAAATTGCACGGTATTGAAATGGTTAAATTTAGGCCAAAATGTATTCTGCTACGTCTTTGCTAAAAGAAATCCAAATACATGTAAATTAATTGGTTTACATGAAAGTTATAGAGGTCTTCAAATGGCGGTATATTTACTGTAATTTTTCTTTCTTTTTTTTTTATATACTAGTAATGGCGGCGATCAACAACTTATAGTGGGACTACGGGACTGCAGTGGGCATTCTGACACTGGGGGGGAACTAACTGCCCCTGAAATGCCAATGACACTAATACAGTGATCAGTGCTACTAAAAAGCACTGAGACTGTACTAATGACACTGGGCAGGAAGGGGTTTACATCTGGGGCAATCAAACGGTTAACTGTGCTGATTTACATTGTGCTGTGTGTGTTTTTATTGGGGAGACATGCTGCTTTGTATTTCTCCTTCCTGGCAGGAGAGAGATCTCTGTTGTTTACACACAGGTCTCTCCCGTCAGCTTTGCCCAATGATCACCGGGTACTGGCAGGAACCTCTGGCCGGGACCCGGGCATTGATATCCCTAGCTGCCAATGGCGGTGTGGGTAGGGTGACGTTCGCATGCGTGCCTCCTACCCAGAATTGCAAATCACGTATATATACATGATTTTGCACAACCCTGCCACCCTGTAGCAGTACCTCTGCTATAATCAGGGTTCTAGAGTGATTGCCTTGCTAGATATCGAAAAGGC